GAGTGATTAGTGCTGTAAAATGTAAATGAATATATTACCTATATAATATAATAAATTATGTCACGAAAAAACATCGAAGAAGTGTGTGGTTATTTAGATGAATCGTTCGAATCTGACTCTGACAGCTTATCATTCGTAGACGACTCAGATATCGATCCCGACTACAGGTTTCCGAGTAACAATAAAAATGTGTTACCAGCACCATCTGGTTCTAATGCAGAAATCCAGGATGAATCAAGTGGTGAAGAGTCATTTGAGGTAAGCTCTAGTGACAGTTATAATAGTATACCTGAAAATGATAATGATCAATGGGTCGAGRACTGGRTAGACATTCCAGATTTCCAATTCGATAGTAATGCTTCTGGAATAAAACTCGATATTCCCGATCACGTTAAAGATAACCCTTTACACATTTTTGAAATGTTATGGACTAAAGAAATAACAAATATGATAGTTTTATCTACGAACAACTATKGTATAAAATTGACCAGTCAAACAAGACCACATAAAAAATATGCTCGTAATACGGAATTCAATAAAGTAGATTTCGACGAAATGTATAAATTTTTTGGGATTTGTTTGCTGGCTGGTTCTGTAMAATTTGATGTAATCAGGGATATGTTTTCCAACAACCCTCTATATTATCATCCTATAATATCAAAAACAATGTCGGGTAGGCGTTTTGATAAACTCTTGAGGTGCTTTAGTGTAGAATATTGTGATCAATCAATAGAAAAGGATGAAAGCGGACCGTTAAAAAAAATTCAACCTCTTTTTGATAGTCTTTTAAATAATTTTAGACAAGCATACACTCCTTATGAAGCTCTATCATTAGACGAATCTCTTCTTCTTCACCGTGGAAGACTCATGTTTAGACAGTACATGCGATTAAAAAAAGCGAGGTATGGAATAAAGTTTTTTGAGCTTTGCTCACCTGGTGGATTTGTACTTAATATGGAAATGTATAAGGGAAAGAGAGATGAAAATCTAACTGGACCTACTTCAAAAATTAATACTTTAGTGTTTCGTCTTTTAGAACCTTTTATTGACAAGGGCCATACTATTTTTATGGACAATTATTATAACAGTGTATGTCTATCAAATCAACTTTTACTAAGAAAAACACATACCACTGGAACTTTACGTAGTAACCACAAAGATAATCCTAAGTGTGTACTGACWAAAAAATTGAAGACTGGAGAATACATATGGCGTCGCAAAGGAACGTATATGTTAGCAAATGGAAAGATAAACGCGATGTACTTGCARTAACTACAAAATACCATCCCATGATTTCGAATACAAAAAATCGATTTGGCCACGACAAAAATAAACCTAATGAAATTATTCATWATAATGATAACATGAGTGGCATTGATAGAGCAGACCAAATGGTTAAGTATTATAGTAGTTCGAGAAAACAATCAAGATGGTACAAGAAAGTATTATTTCACCTATTAGACATCACTGTTTGGAATACATTTTTCATTTACAAAATACGATTTGATTGCGGTTCTATGCGTTTTAAAGATTTTCGTGATATATTGATAAAAAGTATGTTGAAAGTTCCACTAGACAAAACAGCCTTACAATTTTTTAAAAATCTAAATGAAAAAGAACCCAAAAAAAGGTTATCAGGGCATTACCACGAAAAAATTCGACSTCCTCCTAACTTCAAAAGGGAAGTGTATTACAAGAATTGCAAAGTGTGTAGAAAAAACAWAATCAGAAAACAAACTCAATACCAATGCAGAGAATGCGATGTTCCACTTTGTGTTGGAATATGTTTTGAAGACTTTCATAAAAGTGTATAATTATTTGAATTGTCACGAAGAAGAACACTTTTATAATAATTTATAATAATTTATAATCAATTTTATACTTTTATAATCATTTATATGTATTTGTTATACTTGTACTGATCTAGTT